GTGTTAGACCGAACCATTTGCTTTTCTTTATCTGGTGTGTTTGGGATTTTTAACAGTGAATTGTCGAAACAGGTTTGATCGTTTCCTGCGTGTATTAATTTGGTGATTTATTAAATGTATTCATGTTATTCTAATCTGCTGCTGAGTCTCTTACGCTGATGAAAATGCAGATAACACAGAGACAAACTGACAGTTCATCTCTATTACAACAGTGTTGCGTTAGACTGCTATATTTTTGTGTTCTTTATGCTGTAGATTTTTCACGTCTCTGGAATTGGCAGTAATAAGGATAATTTTCTGTTAAATCATATTGATATGACCTGTGAATTATTCATAGATGACCATTAGATTAGTCAGCTGGGAAACTCTGGGTTAACTCAGAGAGCTGAAGATATCGTGGATATGCTGACCTCGCTCCGTGGAGTACAGGGCCGTTTACCCTCATCATTAATATTCAAAATAAAAATATTAGCCAAACATCATGAAGTCTGTATGTGTTTCATAGTGTCGAACAACCTTTGTACAGTATAGCAGTTACTACATGACGGAAACACCAACATTATTTCTTTTATTAAAGTTTATGTGTTTTACACAGGTGACGCTGATTATTGCACAAAAAGCACAAAGATCAGATGTTAATCGGATTTATTTGTTCTCTCTCCTCCTCAAACATGATTTTTAATGTTAGTTATAATTCAGAATTGGCAACTGAAACAAGTAAGACACATAAGAACATCAGGAAGTAAAAAACCCAAAGTCAGTGTAGTGCGGGGGTTTATGGCAGCTGTGTACCGAGACCTGCGCTTTTTCGGCGGTAATAACAGCTCGATTGCTTGCAAGGCGAGTGGGTCTAGCCCACGCTTTGCTGTGAGACTGGGCAGGGCAGACATCTCAGAAATCAACAAAACACTTTTGTAAAGAGGCTATATCTTGACAAACCGACCAGATATTGAAGATTAAACCAATACATTCTCGGCTAAAAAATATTAAAACGGTATTTGGCGACACACAAACAGGATTTTTCAAAGTTCAGTTCTGTTAGTTTCCACATGCCGGTTGTTGGTGTGCTAAAAATAATGGCCACCAGGCCGAAGCAATGATTTGGACTCTATCAGCATTAACCCCGCCCCTTGAGATTGGTGGATGCGGTTGACAGATAAAATAAATTCATTGTGAGACCTAAAGGAGTCAACTGTGCCAAAATGAATGAATTAAATACATCATTAAATAATTATTTAAATATGGCAATAATTAATTGATTAAATGTGTCAAAAATATTTATTTAATTAAATAATATCAATTCCAATTAATTATTGCAACATTAATAAATTATTTAATAGTGTATTTAATTAATTCATTATGGCAGACCTGGCGTTCCATACATTAGAACAATGTTTGTATTAAACAAAAACAGGGTAAAATGATGGTGATTCACATGGTCATATAGTCATGAAGACAATCAAAAACTGAAATTTCTATAAAGCTCAGCGAGCTATGTACCTTTGGAAGAGCAGCAACCACAATGTCATATAACCAAAAAGTAAAAAACAAAAAATGTAAGCCAGATGGTGTTGTGGTTATCACCTTGCTACAGGTTTGATGCCAACATCCATAGACAGTGCCTGGGTCAGAGCATAGTCACAGGAGAAGTGCAGGTGGATGCTCTTCTCATGACTTTCGAGGCCATCATGAGGGTCCACATCCCCGCTGATGGTGTTCTCATAACTGAAGTGGGTCCCGTTGCTCTTAAGAGTAAGAAGACAAAAGATTTTAAGCATATTTTCAAAAATTTAAAATGCTGCCCAGAAGATTCATTCAATGTACTAATTGCACCCTCAGCATTGTCCCACAAAGCTGGTCATCATTGTTGAAGTGGAAAACCAGTCGACCATCCTCAAGAGTCCCGTTGCAGGATTCATCTCGAAGATGGAGGGCATCAGAGTGGAAGCCGGCCTCAAACAGCTGACAGCGGGA